CGATTATTCTTAAAGATGTCATTCACAGCAGTGTTTATGCAAAAAAAAAAAAAAAAAAAAAAGTGTATGAGTGGGGACCGTAAGTGCAATTCTGCATAAATATTTCATTGGGTGAAATCACTGAAAAAGCGGCATCGCCAGCGCCGCATCAGTGGGGTGGTCTGGGCCCTCTCTTAAGCTCAGCTCGCGGCCGCGTGGCGGCTCCCGCGCAGGTTCCGCGCGGCGGCGGCGCCCGGCGCGCCCGGCAGGTGGCGCTAGAGAACAAGCAACGCGCGCTCCCCCCGCCCCGCTGCTGAGGGCCCTGGCTGCTCCTGCGCCAAAACTGCTCTTTTTCTCCCCTTTTTATCGCGTGGGAGACACGGCGGCTTTCTGTTTGTTATCTACAGGGCGCAAAATTGGCCGCGTGCTTTGCAAAAGTCCCGTTGTCACAAATCTGCTCTTTTGGCAAAATGAAACCAGCTATTGGGCAAACTGTATCACAGACCGTCACTTTTCGCTCGGTCTCACACATTAGAGGCAAATTCGTGTGGTCTCCGAGGGCCTTAAGGTGAGCAAGGAATCAGAGTCTTTATCCAAAAGCCTCGGCTGAAGTGACCCATTGTGAATAGTCAGAGTTCACAGCGCAATGAGATATTCAAATCTCACGTTTTGCTAAATTTAGAGTTGACAGGACGAAGTAGCCCTTGGCAGTAGCTTATACTCAGGGCAAGATGTTAACTGTCAAGTACCGGGATCAAGCCTCAGGCATCTGAATTAGCACGGAAAATCTTCACACCAATCTAAAAAAAAAAAAAAAAAACCTCCAATATCCAAAGATAAAGGGTAAATGGACAATATTGTCAAAAGGACCTTAAACTTTTTGCAGCACAAAACTGACAGATTTTATGTCTGCCAGCACATTAGTGCTGTGCTTAGAATCAAGGGTTTCTGGGTTTGGAGGAGTGAGTCAATATCCTTAAAAAGTCTGGTTTAAAGGGAGATATATGGAGGAGGAATCAATTTAAATATGATAATTGTATAGCTTGGAGCACTGACTGCATTGGAGTATTGGAGAGTGGTGCCTTGTAATCTCAGTGTTTTTGCCTTTCTGATTGTGCCTTTAAGGTGCTTTTACCTTTGTCTTGAGCCCTTGGTGTGATTTTGTCAGTTGATTGCCTGTTACCGTCCTCTATTAGCCCTGCAAATCTGTGGGCTGGGTAAGAGCTAATAGGCCACATACCTGTGACATTCATGAGAAGTACCTCTTACTTGTGAAAAACTTTGAAGCTCTTGGAAGTAAAATTATTATTTTTTTAAATGGACCTACTAGAAGTACTGATTGATAGTCCTGGAGGCCAAAGATCTCTAGGTGTCCACACAGCATGCGAACAACTACACTTTCAAGCTTCTGTTCCCTGTTTGATCTTACCCTTGAAAGGATTAGATCACTTTGTAGGTCCACATCTACTATTTGAGCTATGTAATCTAGATCTTTAAAATAGTCCCAAACAAGCTGTGGGAGAAAGGAGATAAAGGCTATGATATTTGCATCAAACCAGAATATATATGCGTGAATGAATAACTTTCCTGTATGGAGCTGGTTGTGGCCCAATCCTGCCATCTCTGAAGTTCCCCATGACCTCAGTCCTCAGCTGCATAGTCTTGCAGCATCAGGTGTCACTAGCTCAGCTACTCCGCAGAATTGCTGCTATGGGGTGAATTTTACTCCTCTACCTTCATTTCTCTTCTTAATAGAGATGTGCTTCTGCATTACCTAATAGGATATCTTTCTTTGCTAGCAAAATTGTAATTTTTACAAGAAACTTATCTTTGGACTTCTCTAACGATAAAGTAAAATCTCTCCAGAGCCTCGTTCGCCCAACTTTCAGAGACAGAGTTGGAAACTCACACAAGCTTATGTTGAAAAGGAATTGATTATTCAAAGCTCTTGTGCTTCATAATCTACTTAAAACATGTAGATTGACTGTCTCGTCAGAAAAGCTCTGAATTTTACTTTGCTCGATAGCCCTCTGGGTCATGTACTTGAGGCTGGGAGACCCATGGCTAGTTACTTCCAGGCTGTGTGCCACTCCAATTACAGGTTATTAATTTCCCTTGCATTCCAGAGGCAGTTCCACATGGCTGAAAAGGAATACCACGCTGCAGAGTGCTTCATTACCTACTCACTTTGTACATCGGCAAAATAAGAAAAATACTGATTTCTTTCTTCCTCTTTTCCCTCTGTTTCTTTTTTTTTTTCTGCTGGTCTGTGGAAGATGTTTTACAGCTTTAATGCAGCGGTTTTAAGTGTGACTGTTCCTGTTCAAGGGCAGCTGATGTACTTTGTAATGCCACTGAACAGCCAACAAGCTCTGTTCCCCTATTGTGTTGAAGTGATAGGTATGTTTGCTAATCAAGAGGAGAGCAGAGTTTGCTGTCTGACTTGTTTATGTTTTATTTCTCCCCATCAAGCTTTACAGGGAGACACAGAAAATATGTAAGCATCTATATTATTCAGTGATGTATATGCGTACAAGAGTACAATCTAAACTGAACTGCTGATATTTTCTCATCGGTTGTCATTGAAATTATGAACAGGATTGCCACATCTACCTAGGATTATTCAAGAAACGCCTGGCATTCTATTAGCTGGACCATTAGTTAATTGCCACTTCATCCCACTTTGATGTTTTTCCTTTTGTGGTTGCTTCAGTCTTGTTCAGAAAGAGCCACAAACATGTAGGAATGTGATACTGGTCTTCACAGAAGACCTATGGGCCATGGTCAGGTAGAGATGGGATCTGATTTTCATCAAAATCACCTCTGAATATTCTCCTAGGATGTAGAGTTTCTCCTTCCCCTGTGTAACATGGAAGCAATTTGGGACCCCAAAATGGAGAGATTTCAAAGAGCTGCTGGAGGAGCCAACATCCCCCTTATGGGTGTATCCAACATCAGCCCCCCATTCCTGGAGTTTTCAGCTTCTCCCCTGATTCCCTGCTCATCTCAGAGGAATGAGAAATGCCTCCTGTCAGCCCTGGCAGCAGAAACCTACTTTAATAGGGTTCTGGTCAAGGGTCTGTGTGGCTCATTCAACTCGCTTGCCAAGTTGGGTTTAAGCATTCTGAAAATACTTGAAAAATCCCATTGATTGGGCCCCTTAATAGACCCATGATAATGATTCCAGTGGAAGTTTGCTGCAGACAAAAAATCAGAAGCACCAGGAAAATTCCATCAACCTTTATATTTGGGAAGGAGAAGGTTAGATATTGTGGTTTTTTTCTTTTTTCTTTTTCTTTTTTTTACTTCTCGGTTTTATATTAGTTCATGTAACGTGGAGGGTAGAGAGCAGAATTTACTTGCAAAGAGCAGTGATATCATCCTGCTATCCCCTGTATGCCTGCCAGGAGCCGGGGTCTTGGATAGAGTTGGATAGAGAGGTATCATCTCTCTAATAACATTTTTACTTTCTGCTCCAATATTGTGTAGTTAATTTTATGAATCTCATTTTAAAAGGAATACCTAGTTTTGCACTGTCATTTTGCACTGTCAAGTATCTGGTACTGATTGTATTATATTCTATTCCCCTTTTATTTTAGCAGCTGGAAATAGTACTCAACTTTTTTTTTTTAGTATAATATGAAGTGGATGTCCTCAATTAATACACTAATCTGTTTTCTAATTAATTCTCTGTGGTTTTCCTCCCTTTTTGCTGGTGCACTGAATCCTGAGTACAATTCTGTAAACTCAGTGATTTGATTATTTAAAGGAGACGTAATCAATCTCATGATAAAAGGTATGAGTTTTAGCAAATGCTAAATTTCAGGAAGCAAAAGGATTCTCTTATAGCTGTTTTAAAGCCTGGGAAAGAAGTAGGTTTTAATGTGTGCTGACAATAATATACTCTTCTAAAATACAGGCACGTACCTGTCAGCTATTGCTAAAGCAAATTGCATTGTTAGGAATCTGACGCATTCTGCAAAGAATTCTTGTTGTGTTTCTGTATGCAGATGCAATGGCAGCATGAGTATCAAAACATCAGCGCTGCATGATGTGGCTTGATGTCGTGAATTTTATTGCTTGTTTCCAGTAGAGGCAACAGTGTATTAGACATACTGTACAAATAAAGAGGAGGGATTGTCATTGCTGCTTGAAAATTGTTTTGGCTGCTTGTTTTTGCTGACTTTTTTTTGTGGTTATTTAGTACTAAACACAGAGCATTGTGAAGGTCTTTTGAAAATTTAATAGACACCCTTGTTGAGCCTGAACATTTAATTCTTCTATTAAAAAAAAAAAAAAAAAAAGAAAAAAATATAGTGAAGCATCCTGATTGAAATATTTTACTTTGTGAAAGCTATAGTGAAACTATGCTGGATACCTCTTTACTAGGGTGCTCCATTAAGTAAAACGTAAAAGCTACATAGTAATTCTAAGCCCTTTCAGTCTTGCTGATGTTACTTTATTCACTAAATAGTGATAAAGGAAATAGAACTTTTATCTCTAAAATTAGGGAGTCATCAATGCAGTAATTACAGTAAATTTTCAAAATTTATTTTCAGTTGTAGGAGCTTCAAGGTTTGGGCAAATTAGAGAAGTATCCCATCTAGCCTGCTGCAGCAGAACCAACATCCTCTCCAAAGTTAAATACAGTATGCTGCAGTCTTTTTTTCTTCTTTTTTTTTTTTTTTGCAGCTTCTTTTATACAACTCCAGTAATTATTTTTGCATTTTTAGAAGATTGTATCACACAGTTCATTGTTATATCAGTATATTGCGAAATTACATAGGTATCAGTTTTTATCACCTACTTTGCTGTAGTCCTATGGCTTCTGGTAGCTTTCCATGATACTGCAATCAACAAAGTCAACATGAATTCTTACCTTCAAAAGTGCATCAGACATAAACAGAAATATCTTTTTGTATTAGCATTCCCATAGCAGTCTGACCAGAAAGAGGACTGTGTTTCTTGTTAAATTACAGATCCTGCAAGCAAAATATCTGTCTTTTTTTAATCCCTTACAGTCCCAGACAACCTTGTTGTAAAGATCGTGGCAAAGCGGCTGAACACACTCGACTGCGTGACCAACGGTTGGGTGCTTTGTGGTTTCCCAAGAGACATAGAACAGGGAGAACAGCTGCAAAGAGCAGGAATTATTCCAAACAGGTAAGACACACATTTAGTAATTACAACATTAATTATGGGAAAAACAGACTATGGAAAGATGCAGAGCTTTACTGTCATCATATAGACAGAACCTTCCAGGGCTGGAAAAGGAGCCTCATTCCCAAGGACTGGGAAATAGAACATTGGCCTTGCAAACCTCCAGATGGCCAAACTGTGGGAAAGATTAAAGGTTTGTTTTTCTGGTTATTTGTTCGAGTTGCCTCTAAAGGCAAACTATAAGAAGTGGATTAAAGGTTGGATTATATCAGAAGGTATATTTTATTTGCAGCAGGAGGGGATCTACATCTTCTTAGCTCGGGATTGGCATAGCATCATGGAATTTATTAGTATTGCGAGGAGCTCATTATGAGACTTTTGGGTTTTGTGAAATAATTAAAAACAACATATGAATTATATTTTATTTGTGCTATAGAGAGGTGTTCAGAAATATAAGAGAAATGAGCATCAAAAGAGAACTGTTGTGGCTGCCAAGTAAATAAAAGGGGTTACTCTTCTCAGATGGTCCAGGGGTGCTGAGGGTTTTGAAATACTGGATTGCTCATCAAAGCAGAGAGGCTTTTTCCCTTCCTCCCCAGAAGGTCCTGGGTCAGTCCATGCTGTTGGCTGACACAGCAGCTGCTCCAAAGGCACACGTTGGGAATTTGTAGCCTCTGTGCTTTCTGGAGGCTTGTCCTTAGCTAAGAAGCAGTACTGGGAAAGGTGCAATAACCACATATAGGTTTAAACTAGCAAAGTTACTCTTCTCATGTGTTCCTTGTGGCTGCCTTCAACCTCCCTCCTGTCCCACATCACCCATGTGGGTACAGGAAAGAACTAAGAGCGCTGGACTGTGCTGGGAAGAGATAAAAGGAGAGAGGGAAGAGAGGGAACTTGCAGTCGTCGAGGCTTGGGAAGGAAGGATGTGAAAACAGCAGTGGTTTTATTTATTAAAAATAATACAAAATACATCTTAAACAGAAATCCATTTCATGAAAAAGGGAGAAAGATTCTGGACCTTTGAATATTCTTCATATGCATTTTTAAAGTAGGTCCTGGGTCCCTAAACACGTATGTGAATACAGGCGATCAGTGAGAATACTCATTTGTCTGCAGCACACTCCTTTACAGAACTGAGACCTTAGCAAGCAAGGAGGAACAGCTGGTTACAAAATCCTGTTTTAAAAAATTTTGCACTCATCCATTTGCTCAGCTTCTCTGAGCACGTTTAAAGGGCTCTGCACATTCACATTTGCATTAAGAATTGGGCCCTTACTGTTTCATACAGGGGTTGGAGTGAGAGGCAAAAATAGGACATCATACTATCTGATTGATTTTGGAGCTGATATTCTCCTTGCAACTAAAGTAGTGGGTGTATAAGGCAGAGAGGGTGATTATAAACAACAGGACATATTGCAGCATAGGATAGCAGGGCAGTAACTCAATTTCAATTGTGATGCTAGTTATAAAACACTATCTGCAGAGGTAGTGTTTCTGACATCAGGAGAAAGCCCTGATAGAATTATAGCCTTGAAATCAATCTGGGAATAGGATGCAGAAATCTATAAATCAGACACAGAACAATCTACAAAGTCTCAATTTTAGGAGGGCTCTGTTGATGAAATTAGATTAAAATAAATTTACATATATATCAAGTTTATTATTAAAATCTAGTCACATCAGTAAACAAAATTATTTGTGAAAGAGTATGTTACTCTGTGGTTTGAACTCCAAGTAGGCCTCTTTGCCTGATCAGAACCTGGAGTTATTGTCTGGTTGTCAAGTCATAAATCTATTCCTTAGAGCTAATAAATGGTTAGTGTTCAAATACTGTGTTTTATCTGACTCCCTCCTCATAAAGCTGGTATACATAATACTAAATTATACAGCATTGAGCAGGATCAGTCTCCTGGCTCCTCCATCTTATGGAAAGAAAAAACAAACCTAGTAATTGATGATCGGAAAGAAGGAAAATAAAATTATTTGAAAACAAACAAAATGGGCTATAAAGTTTGTTAAAATGTAATAATAAAAAAAAAAACTCATACAGCATCAGCCACTGCATCGAAAGAACTGCCCTGGTGCAAAAAGGAAAATAATTCATTTCCTGCTGCAAATCTAAGGTACAAGGTATTCCTTAAATTAGACTTTGCAGAAGAGCAAATGCAGAGCAGTGCAGGGAAACTTGGCTTGTACCAGACAAAAACCTTTCCTGTTCCTGCCTGTGAAGCAGCTAGGGCTTAAGTGGACAGGATCCTGATCCTATTGAACTGCAGCAGCCTTTAGGGCAAATGAGAAGCTGAATGTATTAGTGGTCTCTCCGCTCTCTAGCAAAAGAGCATCATTAACTACTTAGTGTCTCAAGAAATTGGGAGTCCAAATGCAATTACTGGTTGACATCTGAAGCTCAGAACTACTACTACTGAGATTTGAATACAGGTCCTCATCCAGGCAGGTATAAATAGCTATTTTTGCTTTTTTTATTGTGAATAGTTGAGCAATAACAGTAGTTATCTAGTTCAGCCCTGGACATTTCTAATATAGAGAAAACTCTTGCTTATAAAATTCTGCTCACACCCTTCTCCATCCTTAGATATGTTTAAATTAAAGCTGGGCAAATTGTGCTTTGAGGCATGTTGTTTAAAAAAAAAAAAAAAAAAAAAAAAAATCTGTGGTGTTTGTGAGGTTCCCCTACACTTTCACAGAAAGGCTTGCAAATGTGAAGGGTAGTAAAGGACTGGCTTCTGAAGTATGACTTGAGATAAACTCAGTAGTCCAAATTGTAATTGTAAATTAAAAAAGCTTTAAGATTGAGATCTAAAAAAAAAAAAAAAAAAAAAAAAAAAAGGCAAAAAGCTGAAGGTTGGGTTTTCTTAGCAGTACAAATTGTATAAGGCAGACCAACTGCTCTCTTCCAAACTTACACTTAAAATAGGATTCACGAGCAACACTGTCATCTGTGACATCCCTCTCATAATTAACTTCAGCCAGTTCGTGCCCAGCTGTCTGCTGGTCCCAGGCCAGTTTCTGGCAATCGGCAGTTTCAGGATTTCCTGAGCCAGAGGGTCATCTGGACCACTGTGGCTAATAGCCCATTTTCATTGACTTCATAATCCATTTTTCAACACATTATAGTTTGGGCCTTCACCAAATCGTCTGGAAAGGAGTTTATCTTTTTAACTGGGTTTCATAGGAACACACTCCAGGCTGTTTGTTTTAAACCTCCTGCCTGGGGATTTCTCTGGGGTTCTTTAATCCTTCCAGTAAGAAAAATAGTTATAAATGTTCCCTGATGAACCTCTCCTAACACTCCTGATTTTATAAACCTCTCAGATGTCCCCACGCAGTCATCTCATATCAGAACCGTTCATCTCATCAGAGCCTTGGTTGTTCATCCTTTCCTTTCCTTTCCTGGAGGTCATTCCATTCTTCTGATCATCCCTCTCCCTCTTCTCTGCCTTTTCTGGCTATTGTAACTGCTGCTTTTCCAAGATGGGACAACCAAAATGCATTCACTTTTCAGTTTTCCTCATAATTGCTGATGTTCTAGTAGATATTACTGTGATAGATTTTGGAAGAATACTTTGTATGTGTGTAGAATATAGTAGCTATTTTTAGAGTGTCATTTTCATTGAAAATATGCTGAAAAAGTATCATGCATCTCCATTTAGCGTATATAAACCTGGCAAGAAGAAGCCTTTGGGCCCCTTAGCTCACAATCTCTGTAGTTGAAATGGTAACTGCATTTGTGTTAAAGTTCTTCTCAAACTGATAAAACAACTTGCAGTTTTTCCCATTGCGCTGGTCTGTCCAGTCCTGCTTTCTTTCCCAGTACAGCAACAAATAGCTCTAACATCTGGCACAGGTTTTCTGGTGTTGTCTTCAAAAGGATGTGCTTGTATCCCTTTTAATGTAATGTTTTTAAACCTTGTTTCTCATCACACTACTAAAAACCTGTAATCAAGGAATTTAGGGTAATGCAATTTCTAATTTCTAAGGCAGAATCTGTGAATATGTGGAGAACAAAAGGGAAAAAATAGAATGGAAAGAAAAGATTTTTTTTTAAACTCTTTGGTCTTTACATGAGGCTTTCATATTTCTGCAGCTGATCCCAATATGGATTAGGGATAATAAACAGCCTATTAATGGAGGCCTGAACTAGGAAATGGAGTTTGAATCGGCGGCAGAATTCAATGGCTGGTGCAGGTTAATAACTCCATTACTACCAGCTCTCTTCTTTAGCCATTTGAAGAGCTTGGTGTTAGCCTTATCTTACTCCTCATTAATTGAGCTAATAGAACCCCAGTGACCCTACCATGCTGCCATTATCTGCGAGTTTACCAGACATGGACTGGAATACTTATCACTGAATATGTATTCTGCAGATGCATTTTTTTTCCTTTTTTTTTTTTTTTTTTTTTGTTGTAGATCAGCTGCCTTCAGATTCTTTTTGTTTCTGTGTTGTCCTTGTTGACAGCTACATAGTCAAAAAATACTGTAAATGACTTAATTATAATCTTATCAAGGAACAAACTAAGTCCCAAAATAGTTGCATCAATGAAACATAGCAGGGATTGAATTATTTTGACATAGCGAGTTATTTTGACAAACCTTATAGCGAATTTTTAAAACTTTGGCCTAATCTAAATGATGGATACTGTACATTTATAATAGATGGGTTTTTAATTGATGGCACAAAGAAATCTGATGAGTAACAAAGTAGTAAAGCTCTAATGATCTCTTATTTTCCCCTCAATTAATTGGGAAAAGAGTAAAATAACAGGCAGATTGGTTCTGCTTTACTTTCTTTCTCTTCTGATTAGAAAGCTGTTTCCTCTTATCAGACCCCTTAGCCTGATTGCGAATGGTTGTTTTCACTGACAATAATTGGTTTCCATTTATCATCACTTTGCAGGTCACTACTCCCACCTCCAGCCTTCCTCCTCCTCCTCCTGCCCATGCCAAAGGCCAGTCAGCCAGACCTGCACAGTGTAAGGAGCAGG